CTCTCTCTCTCTCTCTCTCTCTCTTGCTCACTTTCAATATGCATATATACTCATACACGAAGAAAACACCCATTCACACACACAATTTTTCTTTCCCTTAATTTTCATTATTTCCTGCCTATCTGTCTTTTGTTATTTCTTTCTTGCGTGTAAAGTTTATCTTTCGTCTTCAAGAGATCTCGTTAAAAAAATAAAAAAATATTTCTTCTTTCCTCTGTTTTATCGCGATAACTTTCGATCTTGTGAATTCTCGTTTCGTTTATTACTTTTTTCTCTACTTTTCTCTCTCTTTCGTTGTTTCTCTCTCTCTCTCTCTTTCTTTCTTTCTTTCTTTCTTGCACTCTTTCTTACTCTCTCTTTCACACAACGCCATTCTCACTCTTTCACTTTCTTTCGTTCGATAAGAACATTGCACGGCTCCCAGCTCCAGCTTATACTGTTTTTATAGCCTTATCACGTTTTACGCTCTAAGTGTCTCCGTTAAACATATACACGTGCATACATTGAACTTATTGTTGTACCGCATTTTTCATTGAACGCATCCAGACTGTTTGTAGCTGCGGGGTGATGTGTATCGAACGATGCAGATCGAACGGATTACACAGTGTGTTTACCTCATACGGTGTACAGATAGCGCTACGATCAACGATTAAACTGCGTAAGATCAGAATAGCGAAAATCATTTTTGACAGGCGAATGAAACGACAGGCTTTAAAATATCATGATACAAGTTCGATGTTTGTTCTCTTTCATCAAAAGAAACGTGTTTCTCGCCTATTTTTTTTTCTTTTTTTTTTTTTTCCTACTTTTAACGTCAAACACTCTGGTGCTTCTTGATTTTTCGATCTCAGGTCAGACACGCTCTCCGTTACCGATAGAGGGAAGTTGTGTTGCGAAGATATCTCGAAAATCGATCAAAGATATAGATCGATCACGACGAAATGGAAATCGATATATTTCGGATATTATATCGTTTTCTCTGACATTTTTGAATTGATTCGCGATTACGTTTCTGACTCGAGATCGTGATACAATAACACGATATCGAAGCCAACTCGTAACGAGAGTCTATTTAAGTTTATTTCAACAATCTTACTGTGCTTCTCATTACGATCGTGGCTCCGTGTTTCCGCGCCAAAAATACATTCAAGATCTATTACGCTTTTTAAACATGCACGTGTCCATGTAAATATCAGATGTACAAATATGTTCAACTGTTCTTTGGTACATGTGGATATATGCGTACATCTACAGTAGACACTCTAATAGTAATAGTGGTAGAAGAAATAGTAGTGATAATAATAGTAATAATAGACGTAGCAATAGAAATAGTAATAGTAATCGTAGCAATAGCAATAGTAATAGTAATAGTAATAGTGATAGTGATAGTAATAGTAATAGTGGTAGTGGTAGTAGTAATAGTAATAATAATAATCATTATCATCGTCGTAATCATAATAATAGTAATAGTAGTAGCAGCATTAGCAGCAATATTAATAATAATAGTAGTAGTAGTAGTAGTAGTAGTAATAATAATAATAATAGTAAAAGTAATGATAATAATCGAATAATAGTAATGACAATAATGATAATTGCAAAAATAACAGCGTCTATATTGATTACGTTTTTAAAATATTATCAACTAATAGTAATGATCGTAGTGAACATATGTAACAAAAATATAGAAATTTGGAGAACGATGAAATTATGGATCACGATCGCCCTTTTAGGACTTCGAAGAAAAACGGGAAAAAAACG